GTTATTACAGATAATTATTTCCAAGTCTCAATATCAGAACGTCGCCTGCCTTCCAGCCCCTTTCATACTGCGAAGCTCTGTATTGTTGGCCTACCAGTGATTGTGCTATGTATGCTCATTTTTAAACCATTTTTGTACATGTTCAACAATGTGTGATCAATCACAGATGAATAAAGCATCAGCGGTATTATTTTTCTTCTTTCTGAGTTGTGTTGCCTTATTAAACAAATATAAATGTTGCATATAAAAGGAAGCCAAAGCAGCACGTGCATTATTTTGGGGGGGGGGGGGATACAGCATGAGTATTCATTCAAATTAGACATTCAGCGCCAAGATAACAAGTGACTACTCAAAGCAAATTGCTTATCAAAAAACATTTTATTTGTAACATCAGAAAATGCACATCAAATGTATACATTTAAAGAAAAGAAAAGAAAAGAAAAAAGAAAAAGCAATCACACCCACACTAGCATAGCAAGTGCCCTTTTTAAAAGACTAACAGTCAAACACACATTGTATGTCTTACACATTAAAAACAGCAGGTAATCATTGGTATCAGTGTTATATCAAAACGAGTTCTGTGCTGTAAGTAACTCCGTAAGTTGCTGAGTGATTGGCACAAAAAATAAAAAATATCAGACACTTCTCAAACAGACTCCAAACATTAATTTCTGACATATTAATACATGATAAATACAGGAAATTTGGAAATCGGAACATCACTTCCTGATCATGATTTTTTTTCCCTTTAAATACCCACCATCTTGTTATTACTTCAAATTTAATAACTGCAATTGACATCAAAAAACCCATCCCAACCCATATCCTCCACACAGAAACACACACATACAAACTCTCCTTTCACTTGAATGCGTTACTGTTAATGTATATTAGAGTCGCCACAAAAGACATGATACACACAGCTATGATTTAGGCAGACATTCAAGTAAAGCCAGATTTTTCTCTTCTGAAAATGTTCAGTAGAATCGAAATTCGCTCCACTTTCAGGTTCAGAAACGTATGTGACTACTATATAACACATCTTGCTCCCGTCTTCTTCTTTGCTGTTAGTTCATGTCCTTTTGTCCCCCACCCCCACAAGCTAAAATGCAGGTTTGCTCATGTACTCCTCCAATGTCTAAGGAAAGAAAATAGAAAAGAAAGCACAAGGGATGAAGAAAAACAATCAGGTTCCCAGACTCTAAAAAGTGCAGTATAATACAAAATCATATCCACAGTCACACATCTACACATCACCTGTTACAAAGTGCTGAGCACAGCAATGCACTAACATAAGCGGAACATCTAACCTTTCTGTCCATATTCAAGGTCATCCAAACAGCTCCACCTCATACCACTCACTGATGTCATCCTGAAGCGATAATGGTCAAAATGAATGGGAGACTAAACTGCATCACTCTAGATAAAAAGTGTTAATCAGCCTGACTCAGGAGCACCGAACAACACACCCAGCTACGCACCGAGCCACGAGCCTACAGGGAGAGCAGGAAGCACCAGCCAAACGCTAACATTTAAAGAAAATCTGTCTCACGCTAACACCCAGACAGAGAGAGAGACATAAGGGGTAAGAAAAACAGCAAAACACAGACCTAAAAAACAAAGAGGGAGCAGCCACTACTATCCACATGCCTTTTAGATATGAGGAAGACAAAGGCACAACAGGGATCACCACATTTGATTGGATTCTACAATGCACCGACTACTTCGCACGCACACACATCACGTTCGCATGTCAGAGCCTCACACAATACTCGTGTTGCTTAAAGTAAACAGTAAGCACTAATTTCAGGTATCTGGGCCTTTCAAAATACCCCACAACCATGATTTAAATAAATAAACAAACTTTAGAATACATTTGAAAACATGGCAACATTGCTTTAAAAGGAGACACTACAAGTGAAGTCTGTTAAATACAATGTATCACCATTAACCTTCTCCTGTTGAGCACTTCCATTAAGTATATTTTTTAGGTATTGCAACTTTTTAACTGAACACCGAAGAGAGCTGATACAGATTTATTCCAGCCTGTCATTCTGTAAGGTTCGCTGTATGTAAGTGCTACTAGAATGGAGATTTCTGAGGAAAACAGCATTTAAGTGTCTGTTTTAATAATAAGAATTAACCAACAGATATAAACCGTGAAACTTCCCGAGAGCTGCAAGTAAATTTAAAAGAAATAGGCACTGCCTCCTTAAACATGCACTAATTTGCACAGTGGACAAAATGCATATTTAAGACATTTTATTTACATTAGTCTGAACAAAATAATAATAATAATAATAATAATAATAATAATAATAATAATAATAAATCCAAATAGGCCAGAATCTCAAAAATCAACCAGTGCATGAAGAAAACACGCCTATGCCTGCAGTGTCTCGCTTTATACACTGAGCCATGCAACAGATGTTACGTGCTCACACCACAGGTGCAAGTCACAGTGTTTTACTAAGTGCATTTGTGCGTGCATATCAGTGAATCTCACCTCCTGTAACATGTCTGAGGCTTCAATGGAGCGATTCACAATCTGTTTAGAGGTTTCCTGGATCTCGCCTCCCATTAGAAACTCATCCAAGATAAAATAGGCCTTCTCAAAGTTAAAGATAATGTCCAGCTCACACACCTGAGAGGATGACGCAGTTATTAAATTAGAGAAACTACAGAGCAGAACATATTCTTAGATCCAATCTTTGCAGCCTAGTTGAGCAGCAATGTTATTGATTTTTAGCAACACTTTACTTCAGACTACAGCTGCATAACAAATATGAGAAGGTGAAATACATTGCCAAAGTATTTGTCTAGCAGCTCCACGTAGCGATGAATGATCTCCAGGGCTAGCAGCTCATTTTCCTGGCTCTCTACTCCCAAACAGAAATACAGGCTTGCATACCTGAGGAGAATCAGACACAGATGATTAACAGTGGCATTGTGGGGATCAACACCTATTGGAGAAGTGTCAATAAACACGTGAAGCAATCTTACCGCTTATAAACAATCTTTAGGTCTTTCCACTGCATGAAGTTGCAGGAGCGGGGTTGCCGTGCCAGCACCATGGTGGTCATGTCCCTGATGATCTTCTTCTTCTCACGTTCCGACATGGACGTGAACCACTTCTGCAGACGCAGCTTTCCCTGGCGACTGAAGAGCAGCATGAAGCGCATCTAACAACACAAGAGGGCATTGTCAGTGGGGAAATCCTGGCCCGTGTCGAGGCAGCAACGATGACTCACGCAAACAAACACAAATCCACATCAAGTTAATCCCGAGAAACTTTATTAAGCAGCCGGCGCTGCGCCCACACCAACACACACAGTCACAATCAGGACTGCACAAGTGGCTGTGCTGCTGGCACAGTTCATTAGCGAGTAACTTCACTGACCAGACACAAGGGGGAAATAAAGGGCTTGACAGGGAGTAATAGTGAAGGTCACTGACAACTAAGGAAGTGGCAGTTTTCAAGTGAGCCAGCGAGTCCAGCTTTTGGATGTTTGGATAATGTGTTTCCGAGCACCGGTCGGGTTTGAGTACATATCAAAACAGACATTAGTCTCCTTCATCCCCACCCCCGCTCTGTCGGGACCACACTGCCATGCCGTTTCCTCTCATTGTTAAAGTTAGGCTTCAAGAATAAATATTACTTTGTCTTCAGGCTTTATGGAGCATTTTTCTCCCAATCAGAAACAAGAACATGCAAGGCCCTCTGAAATATCATCCTGACTTTAGGTTTCATTTAAAGAAAAAACAAAAACAAAACTCAGACTCGACTTTAAGAGTACCAGGTTTTTGCTTGCAAGAAAAAAAAAAGAGAGAAAAACAGGGGGTTGTCTCAGTAGTGAGGTCTGTCAATTATTTTCTACCATTCAGGTCACCAGTGAGGCTGTAATGCCTAAACCCTGATGTGCAACAAAGAGCACATTGAAAAGCCAGTGAACACCACTGCAGTCATAAAGAAGTATGTGTAGTATGACACAATTGGAGTGTGCTGCACAACATTTATGATCCAGCCTGTTTATGTGTCATTCAAATGAGCAGCTGAGTTCAAATATCTGAGAAACCCATTAACTAAAGTCAGAGGAAAAACAATACACTGTTATACAATGTATAAAGAAGAAACACATTCTTCTATTATAGCCATTCAGGCCAACAAAATGAAGACATACCAGTTCTTCCACTACTGGAAACTGAACGGAAATTAACAATACAGATGGAGATAACATTATTAGACTGAGTGATAGTCAAGCATTAATCACCAGAGATACAGGAAGACTGGATTGTTTGTCTACACACCTGTAAGTCATTTACAGGGGTGTACACCCCTTAAGGGCTCACAGGCAAATTCATATGTAAAGCATTAAACAGCCAGCAGGGCAACGCTCGACGAGAAGTCACAAAACCTGTTTTCTTACAGAATAGACCGACTGGTAGAGCACACACCTTACTTCCGAGTGTTATTAAAAGTAGGTTACAGACAATAAAAACTCAAAGTGGAAACCAAGTAGACTCTCATCAGGCCTGAATAAGAAAACAAACCTGCCCCAGTTTAGCAGGAAGTGCTGTTAGAGGCGCAGTTTCTAGCTTTAGCTACCTGTCAGCGACAGCAGGTGCAACAGGTGAACAGTCGGGGTATTTTATGCCTACAGTCAAGCGCACAAAACAAACACATTCGCCAGAAACTTACCATTTTCAACACTAGACCGAGGAGCTACAAAACACCGTAAAAATATTTAAAAACTAAGCACTTTAACCCTCACAAAGGGTCAAACTGTCCGGATGGACACATATCTATCCTCCGTGAAGTGAGTACAGGGTGAAACTTGGCTAACTCCGCCCACAATGCCGCTGGGCAGTGACGCGTCATCGGTACTCACAACCATCGTGGATTGGTTATCCTGGGCTTGTATTTCCAGGGATCCGCCCAACCAGGAGCGCCCTTTAAAAAAACGAACAAATCTGCCACGTGACTGTGGGACCCACGTTAATGAATGAACTGATAACTGGCGTCGCTTGACTGCTGTCAGGGTGTGTGTTTAAATGTTATTCCCGGTCAGAGTCGGCAGAGAGCAGCAAGCGCATCCCTCTCCTCCCGCCTCATGTGATTATGATCTGTCACACAGCTGCTTGAACAAGGACTGGAAAACTTGATGCACTTTGTTTGGAATTGTTCCTCATTTGAAATCATGTCTCTGTACCGAAATGCCATCTGGTTTTTGAATGGAATCCAGCAATATACAAGGTCAGTAGGATATCATTTTGGTGTTGATCTGCTGTGTGTAGGGATGCTGTCAAAAGATGCCTGGTAAATATAAATCTTTTTACTTGGTATTGTTTTGTTCTGTCTCTCTTTTTAAAACTAAAATTAGGATTTCTGCCCTGTGACATGCATTTCATGTTGTTTATTCAACCCCAAAAGCTGCTCCGCAGAGCCATATCAAAGGTCTGATCACTGTGTGGCACAATCATCACACAAACTGCCCTTTATGTACAGTTACAATAGTTCTATTGACAGCCCGTGTGTCTTGAGGATGACAGTCTCATCGTCTCATCATCTCAACAACAATGCAGGCTGTCAATCACAAGCTACCTTTTGAGAAATGATCAGTCCTCGCCTTGTAGCATTACCTTTATTACATGTTTTCTGCACGCCTGTAGGAAGGGATACGAAGTGGCATCTAAAGAGTTTGATCCCCGGGACCTGGATGTGTCGGTGGTGGGGAGGTCATTTATGATTACTGGTGCCAACAGTGGAATTGGAAAAGCAACAGCCGTGGCTATAGCCAAGAAAGGTACACGCCGGAGGGTTGTGTTATCTGTCAAACATCACCACATAATGATAGCAAATAAAACCTGATGCTTTGTCTCCAGGTGGCACGGTCCACATGGTTTGTAGGAACAAAGATAAAGCAGAAGAAGCCAAAGAAGACATTGTTACTAAATCTGGGAACACGGTGAGAATATTGACTTTGAATACAGAAAGTAAAAAAAAAAAAAAATCCCCTGATTTATGAGAAACAAAGTGATGCCTAATCTTCCTATTCTAGGAAGTATACATCCATATTGTGGACATGTCCCAGTCACGCAAAGTCTGGGAGTTTGCAGAGGCCTTCAAGAAGCAGTATCCATCACTGAATGGTTTGGCATGTATCACCTTTATTCTTTATTACAATAAATAGATTTCATATCCTCTTTCCTAAGCTAATTGTGTTAATGGTTTAGACTTAGTTGTGTGATTGGACTTTTTCCTCTGCTTTGGCAGATAAACAATGCAGGGTGTATGGTGCACAAGAGAGAGCTGAACGCTGAAGGGCTGGAGAAGAACTTTGCCACCAACACCATGGGTGAGATTTTCTTCTGATGGTCAGACTGTTGTCTTGCATAACAATTTTTCAATTTTTTAATTTCCTTTTTCAGGGGTGTATATTCTCACACAGACTCTTATACCACTTTTACAGAAGAGCCGGGATCCAAGAGTGGTATGATTACACGCATAAGTGCACACAAACAAAGTGTTCATCTGTATAGTGCAGACAGCATAATGCCACTCTTGTCCACGTTGTAGTGGGTCATGGTGTTGTAAGCACACTGATGTATTTATTCCCCCTCCCGCCAATTAGATCACTGTGTCCTCAGGAGGCATGCTGGTACAGAAACTCGAGGTCGATGACTTGCAGTCAGCGAAGGGCTACTTTGATGCCGTTATGGTCTACGCACAGAACAAGGTAAGACAGGAAGGTGTGGTCCAGATTTTTCAAAAATTAGGTTTGAATCTGCTTTACATTGCACAATATGTCTGACTGGTTATATAGGCCATTTAGAGTAATGGAGAAGACTGACGTAAGATGTAAAGAGGCCACATTGTGTTGTTCCTTTTCAGAGACAGCAGGTGGTGCTGACAGAACAGTGGGCCAAAGCCAATCCTGTCATTCATTTTTCTGTCATGCATCCAGGCTGGGTAGACACACCAGGTACGCTCATTTGAGCAACAGTTGCAGTTTTTCTTGAATTGTATCTTAATTAGTCTTCCTCCTTTCTCAAAAACCACAAATACAATTAACAGCTAGTTCTATTTTCTCCTTGTTTCCAGCCGTTTCTACATCAATGCCTCAGTTCCACCGGATGATGGAGGACAGGCTGCGTACTGTAGAACAAGGAGCCGACACAGTCGTGTGGTTGGCTTTGTCCAGGGTGGCTTCCAGAACACGCAGCGGGCAGTTCTTTCAAGGTAAACAACACGAAATGTGACGGGCTCCACCATATTATCTGTTAACCTTCTCAGGTCAACTCAAGCATCGTCATCGTCTGGTGCCACCAGTTCTGACAGCTTACATGTGTTGCAGATCGGAAGCCTGTTCCCACCCACCTCCCTCTGGCTTGGACTCACAGTTCGGCTGAGGAGATTCAGAGGTTCATGACTCAAATGGAGAATCTATCCAAAGCTGTTCAGTTGCAAGCTGACGCAGATCCCGCTGGACCTTGTAGACCGCAGTTTGTCTAGTTTCTCTGCTTCTCCACGTCATAACCATATGACCAGCTACTGGAAAAGGTGTCATCGATTCTTAACAAGCCTCCTGTCTACAACAACAGTTGCATGTTTATGAAACTGTGTTGTGTAGTGTCACAAAATATTGATTAAAGACGAAATAACTGACTTGATTGCATGTGCACTCATGTCTTGTATATTTACATTACAAAAACAGATTTCTGACTCGTGCTTTATATTTGGAAATTTGCACAAATGTCCACAGTGCTTAAATCTCAGATGTGCAGTTGATGTTTGATGAAATAAAAAATAAAAACATGGCTTTTCTGCACCTGATTGCTCAGTCTCCTTTATGGCGCCACATTGTTACATATTTGCACAATATTACGGCAGTAAAACCCAACCTAACAGATGGAATGTGGGGGGAAAAAAAAATACCCCTCATTATCTCCAATTCAGATAACTGAACCATGACCAAGCGTGCTGGGAAAGAAACACTTTCTTCTATATAAACACCAGATGACAGCGTTGTGTCCGTTGGGAGAAAAGACTACTTGTGTTCTTGCAGAGCAGCGGGATAAACTAGATGTTTTCATCCTCAACTGTCTGGGTGTGGATTTAAATGCTATTTCCACAAAGGGTCAGCAGAGAGCAGTAAACGCTCCCTCTCAGCCCGCTTCCTTTCATACTGATCCGTCACAGCTGGTTGACAAACATCAGTAAATTAGTGGACCTTTTGCAATTGCTTGCTTGAAAATCTCTAGCATTTCACAATCGTTATTTTGTAAGAATCCACATTTTCCTCTTTTTTTTTTTTTTTTAAATAATTTTATTTTTATACAGTATTGAACCAAAAAAAATAAGTGGTGCATTCACATTTTTCCCAAGGGATTCTTTTCAAGTTTGAGCTCTACAAGGGTAAAACAGTGAAAAGCTTGAAGCTGGATCCATCCATGTTAAAACTCTCAGGGAACAGGAAGTTTGGTAAGATTTAAAAATCATCTAGAAGATTTCGATGGATTCGTTTTTTCCTGTAGTAAGATTTTTATTCCCCATTTATGTTTTTACTGTATTTTTTTGGAAGGGGCGATGAGTCGGGTTCCCAGTGTCTGTCTCTAAAAGAATTTCCAGTCCATGCGTAACAACAGTCCAAAGAAAAACAACTACCCCTCCCCCTCCCTCCAGTCCAGTCTCTTCCTCGTCTCCTTCACAGTTCGTCTTCTACGCAACGTAGGTGTACACTTTACGGTCCTCTGGTGTCCTCGCCAAGTATTCTCTTTCTATAAGTCCCTCTATCCGCTTTTTGATTACCACAGGGCTCGGAAGAAAACGTGCCCGGAGCTGCTGAGTGACCTGAACAAACACACACAAAAAAAAGAAGAAAAGAAAGTAACAGCATTAAAATTGTTATTCATTATTTGAAAAAGGGAAATGGATTCTGTAAAATGGACGAGTTCCTTACCTCTGCAACCAGGACATTGTGTTGCATCTTCTTCCTCGACTTCATGATTCGGACAATGGCTGCCTCAATCTCGTGCTTCCTGTCGTCATCCACTTTCTGCCGAGTCTCTTTCCTTTCAGGGTCTGATTCACCTTGTTTAGCAGCAACTGGAAAAATTGGATATAGGAACTGTATTACAGAAAGGAAGTGTCCTAACTCCACTTCAAGGATTGCTATGGTTACACAGCCACCATGTAACAGTAAGTATTTCAGAACAGAAGCCTTTACTTATGCATAACCCGAAATAAAAAAACCCCAAAAAAAGTAAATTATTGTGAGTTAAAAAGCTGTATGATATTCTACTTGTGGTACTGAATCAGTCAGTATTAGATAATATAAGTACTAATATGCAATACTATTATATTTTTAAAAAGCACAGCAGTGATGACCCATAAATCCTGGAGTGTCAGCCGTGACGGACAGAAAGGGTCCCGGAAAAGACAAGACATCAGCGAGCTCTGGTGCATTACACACAGCCTTTGCTCACCTGTCTGAATTTTGACTCTGTGCAGTCTCGAGGTAAACTGATCGTTGACTGTAAACACGTGTCCATTTTCTATCTCCTTGGACTTGGGCTCCTTAGTGAGAATTCGCTGTGTGGGTTTCCCACATGCTAAAGACTGTAATGCTCGCACCAACTCTCGCTCTGGAATATCTGTCTCCTGCTGAATCTCCTGTAGAAAAGAAAAAAAAAAAAAATTGGCTTTAAGTGAAAAACTGTGACACCATGTACAAACACACATATATAAAGACATTAAGTCATATAATGGTAGAGTGCAGCCATATAAAAGGTGTGTTCTCACCTCAAAAGTGCACTTTTCTCTGTTGTTGAAGAGCATGAGGATGGTCATCTGGAAGGTGGAGACCTGTAGTATGTGCTTGCGGGTGTTAGACCCTGTCACCTGTGCACCTCCCATACCCAACTCTGAACCATCCTCCTGCACATGGAGAAGGTTTAAAAAACATGTTTTGCTGCTTAACAGAAAGATTATGAAAATCCTCAATGATACTGATTTAATCACAATAAGATGCATTTTAATTTCAATACTAAAGCAGTTTTGAAATGCAGAATCTACCTTTTTAACAGCTCCATAGAAAGTTGCGTTTAGGTCAGCTCCTCCCATGTGATGCTGTAAAGTGAGCTGTCTACCACTGTGCTTAGCTAGGTAAAATCTGGTAAATAAAAACAAAGGCGTTGAAAACCAATAAATGAAAAGTACACTGAGATCTTCTTTGTATTGCAAAACATATGAAGAAAGAGGATTACCGTCTGAAGACTTCAAAGGCGTGTCTGGGAGCAGGGGGGATGGTGCATTTAGGTGTTGCAGACTGTGTGGGCCAGTAGCCAGTAGTTAGGACTCTTACTGTGAGGTCCACACCACTTAAAGATGCCTGGAACACGTACATGAAAAGCAGATAACATGACTACACACCCATTACAGCTTCAATGCAGAATATCTGGTATCAGACAGAGTAAGAGAGCGAGACAGAGAGCGATGGTACTCAACAAATCCTGAATAAAGGAAAAAAAATCCATGGGAGAATTCAGCCCCAAAAGAGACAATCAACAGCCAAATTAATGACCCTATGAGCCAATCATGTTGTTTGACTAACGCATATACACAGTAAAGCCTCCACTGTGTAGTTTAAGGCATGTCTACTATTGTCTACCAAGTAAAGATGTGGGTCAGTGTACTTATCTTTCTGAGATGACTGTATTCATAAAGTAAATTAGCATTTGATATGTTCAAATGTTGCTTTGGGGTGAGGCAGAGACTATCACATCAGCACTCTGGACATGAGTAGAACTTTGACTTCTAATCTAAATGTGCTTTGTGACCACGAGTCAATGCTCTCTATTCATGCTTTAAAACAGGACTTCTAAATAACAACCTAAACAATAACTTCTGCTTTTTAATTTTATTGTGAGACATGACACCAAACATCACAAAGTGTGGAGATAAGGCACTGACAGATACATATTTCATCAAAATAAAGTGTGTGCCTGAGTTGAACATGCAAGGATGTGCTGTGTAGCTGTATGAATGTGCAATGCGTGGGTGTATGAGGCTCTATATCTTAAATCCTGCTGTGCTATCATAGAGTTTGTCAGCTGTGCTGGGTTTTTCTGTGTGCCTTGTTTTTCTGACTGACTTACTGATGTAGTTTGTATGTGTTGCCTGAACTCATCCATGGTAGTGTTGGAGATGCTCATGTCTCTGAACATCCCTTCCAGTTTTGAGGTGAACTGACAGCCGCACTCTGTCTGTAACAGAAAGAGACAAAGAAAATGACAAGAACCCTCTGACAAAGATTTAGACAGGTGAAGAGAGGAAGCATGAGATAAATGATATGAGAATGGACAAGTCCCATGCATAAATTTATATACAAAACTACTACTTTTTAAATGGTTTTTACCTTGAGCTTAGAGATCATGTTCTTTTCTGAGTCGTCTGAGACACTCTTGTTACTGAGCAGCCGACGACCCAAATGCTGCTTGTAGTACCTTTCAAAAACATCCTTCTCCTGCATGAACCGGAACAACACCATGGCCTTGTCAAGAATCGACTCCACTTCCTGTTCCGTCAACTATTCAAACAAGAAAAGGGGAGAAACAAGATAAAAAGTAGAAGTCAGCTGCTAACAGAAAACTCTAAATGACCTACTTAAGGTTTTTGAAGAAGCCACTCACCCCTTTGACTCCCTTCTTGAGCTTGTCATCAATAAAGAGTGAAAGGTACTCTGGAGAGCGGGAGTTGAGGTTCAGGAAATACTCAAAGTCTCCAGCTATAGTTTGTTTGAAGAGTCTGTCGTTGTTGAAGGCCTCGAGGAGGAACCGATCAAATCGTGTTTTCAGGTCTAGCAAACCCTGTTCAAAAGGTGGTAACAAAGAAGTTATGTAATCCAGCACGATACAAGTGTCTCTTGGTACTTTAAGCATGATTAACCTGATATTTAAATCTTCTAATGCTACACTTTTTTCAGATAGAGGCATACCTGAATGTAGTCAACGGGGTTTTTGCCCTCTCCCTCTTCTGACACCAGAGCTTTGCCTTGCTCTCTCAAGTACGAGCTCATACACTCGCACATTGTTTTCAGGCCATTTGGCACACGACTAAACAGCTTGTACATGCATGCCAGGTCTGAGAGTGAGACATGAAGTAAAAAACAATGAGAAAGGAAATTCTTTGGTGTTTTTTTAATTTTTTTATTTCTGAATTACGTGCACAGAAAAGTCATGAATGATTTAATGCTTTTACCTTCCGTCTTGCCATTCTTAAGCATATGGACCAAGCCAGAGTTCTCCATCTCCACAATGGTCTTCATGTGTTTTGAAATTAGCTCCCTTTCCACTACTTTGACAATGGGTTCCTCTGTGGACTTGTCCAGGCAATGCATAACTCGCTCAATCTCTTCATTGATTCTGGCCTCTACCTTCTTTATGTAGACACTGGCACAGTTTTCAGCTAAGAACTTTTGGCTTTCCATCTGAAACAAGCACACATTGTGTGTTGTTATAGAAATTATTTAGAATAGCAACAAAAAGATGGAGTAAAAAGTGCATAGCACAGACTCACCTGGAAGAATTCTGCTGACATATCTAAGAAAGGACCCTCAAAGTCCTCCTCGTATACAGACCTGCCATCCAGGCCTAGAATCATCAGCATCTGGCAGGCATTTCTGATTGCTCCCCTGCAATGAATTGTAGAGCATTCGAAATAAGGACAGAAAACTAGCTCATCACTCAATTTTGTACTTGAACAAACTTTCCGTTCTGCAGTAAAGGTGTTCTAAAGACCAAGAAGTGAAGCACTATTCTTTCACACCTGTCTACAACCTCTCCCTTTCTTTCCCGTGCAATCATGTCCAGTAAGGTCTGTCGTAGGTGATCCCGAATGCAGCCGTAGCGCACCACCTGGTCTCTGAATATGATGAGGCCGAGGTTGTAGACATTTTCCACATTGTTTTGCTGAACATAGACCCTGTCCTAGAAGACATGACAACAGAAGATGCAGTTTTCTATGAAAATATGTACTATGATAAACTATGGTATCAAAAAAGGGATGGATTTGCCGTACTGTGATTATACAAATACATAGTAGCATATGTAAATTTACAAAGTAAGAAGTGGCTTCCAATAAGGTAAGTTGTCAGCCTTCAGTAGATTAAAACAAACAAACAAAAAAACCCACTGTCTGGGCTAAAGAAAGAGGACAGTACAGAACTAAAGAACTCCAGGACAGCTGTGTAGTCTCTGTACTGACGGTGCCATTGTTTAGCCTACTGTTTTCTAAGGAGCTTGGAAAGAAGAGCGTTTGGACTTCTTTGAGTTGCTTGAAGACGTTTCACCTCTCATCCGAGAAGCTTCTTCAGTTCTAAGGTCAAATGGTGGAGAGTCCCAGATTTAAACCCAGTGGGAGTTTCCCCCCAAAGAGGGACAAAAGGACCCCCTGATGATTCTCTACCTAATCAAATGAGCCAAGGTGTGAAAGCGGGTGTGAGTCACAATCAGCCAGGGTTTCAGGTGAGCTCATTGTGAAACCTAGCCCCACCCCATCATGTGATTTCCTGAGGTCAGATGACCCAGGATGTGAGTGGGCGTTAAGGCGTCTGGGAAGGGATCTCGAAACTGGATTATAGATGTCAGACAGTTGGTGTCGTAAACCACCGCTTCTGTTTAAAGATGGTCGCTCACAGTGGACGTAAATGGCTTCTTTCACTCCTCTTTCAAACCATCTGAGGAGTGAAAGAAGCCATTTACGTCCACTGTTAACACAAATGGCCATCCCTTAAATATCACAAAATTATTTCCATGTGCAAAAACACCAAACAACAGTTACAAATGCTCTATGAAATCTTAAAGATCTTTTACAATTACTGATGTCCAGCTTCAGAACTTTTTACATGAGGAGTATGACTAAAACACAAATGCATACCTACCATGTACATGAGGATGTCTCTGATCATGACCATGGCAGTCTGGTGGTCATTCCAGGCCTGATTCAATGTTTGCAGAAAATTATTATTTAAGGAGTTTAGGACATCTTCCCGTACCTGAAGATATAAATAGTCAAATAAAGTCATCTCAACATCTGGTGTGGTATTATGAATAATTGTCTTCTTTTCAGATCCCTTCTCATCATTGTCTAAAATACTTTGAAACTGATGAGAGTTTCTTTACCTTGTTGATGAGGTGCTCAGTGACCACCTCCCTCAGGCCTGTGTACAGCTTCTCCCCATGTTTGTGGAGCACCATTGTGTAGGCGTTCCTGTACAGCTCCTCAAAGCTCAGTCCACTGTTGTTTTTCCTCTGAATCTCCTGGATAGCATTCTTTAGAAGGTCCCAGATGTTGTTCACATATTTCTCATCCATTGTCATCTGTGAGAGACAAATATTAAATTCAGATACTTTGATTAATGCCTTTTTTGTTTACAATGAAAAAGGATTAGTCTTTCCAAAGCAGGTCTATCTGATGTATCTCATGTCTTTTGTATACTCTTGCAAATGGTCAGTAACTGTTTTGTAAAAATATAGACATAACTTTTTTTTCTCCCTTCTGTTGGAAATTAGTGTAGGAATGTTGAAAGCCACATCTCTGAAACGAGGAAACAATGCATAATGCCTGGACTATTCTGTTGTCTGTCACATATTTTTGCATGTGGCATCTGCCAATATTCTACCAAAGAGAGAGCAAAAGAGACAGACTACCATCTACTTCAGCAACCTGAATATTATGCCAAAAACAAGCAAGGGTGGCTTGTTTAACAGGTTACCAAACCCCCTGCTTTCTGCTTCATAAAAAAATTATTATTTTTTTCTTAATTCATGACAAACAATTAAACTCTCTAAATCAAGAAATAAGGCAACTGAGTCATAACATTTGAAAACAACTGTACCTATAAAAGAGGTAGGTAAGTAGGAAGTAGATGTGAATTCTCTCAGCAGAAATCTTAACCTGATTTCAGTGGAAAACAAGAGCCAAGCTGTTCAATCTGCTAGAAATGTTTTCTCATTTTTTTCCTTCTATAAATACCTTTTCTTCTGACAGTTGTATGTTACTGGGACTGTAAATGGCATGTTAAAGCTTTTATCTCTTAAGGGAGTCTATTATGCATTTTGAAAAGGTGTTTAGGATCATCATCTATATCTTGGTTGTGTGTTCATTAAACAATGGACCATTTCATTTTTTTTCTCTTTTTTGGCCAAATATACCCCGCTAACTACTGACAAAATCATTCTTATTTTTGCTTCATCATCTGTTTTGGGGTTTTCTTTTTCTAAACTGTCCTAAATGTATCAGGCTTGATCATATGCTTATATGCAAACGTCTAAGTGTGAATTTGTGGTAGGGGTGGCTGTGATGGGTTGGCCAACATCAACACCATAACCTGTTCAAGTTATTTTGACCATGTTTACTTTAGCACCTTGTTGGGATGAAGTTGCGCTAGCTCTCCAGCTAACTCTGCATGACAATGTGCGTTGATATCCTCCGCGGGCGGAAGCAAAAGCGTAGCGTGAAAAAATAGCAACAAACAACCCTGCTTATCGTTACCATAGCGCACTGATACCTGCAGACTGACTTAGCAAATGTCAAGACAGCTAACACGGCCAGGCCCGCTACTTAGCTAGCCATCTTCTCACTGAAGTTTCAATTAATGCTAACATAAGCTCATGACAAATGACGGTGACATTTACAAACCAATAAGCCAGCTAGCATTAAATAAACTGCACGATAATACGCCCAAGGTAACTGCTCAGATTGAAGCAGTTTTCGCTTGAGTGACATTTTTTTTTTCGATTGAGCAACTAGTTAGCAGGCAATTACTAGCATAAAGACCTGTCATCCCCTGACTCGTCTCATAGTTTCGGCTCATTTTACAAAGCTCATTCAGTTCTCAGTACTCACAGGAAAGGCTCGTATCCTCATCTTGGTGTCCTTCTTGGGGCCGCTTTTTAGGTTGGACATGATTAGTTGCAACGACTATCCTTTCTAAGTTGACTTAAAGACTACATGAAAGGCAGCTGCTAATTTGCTTTCAGCGCCCGGAAAGCGACAGAGAAACTCGGTGACCTCCCCTGTGGGAATTAGGTCGCCCTGTGTGTCTGTTGTGTTGTTGTCAGTCGTTCTCCTCAGTGGTTTTGGCTAGTGTTAGCTTGTATGCAGTGATGGCGGACGGCTGTTCTCCACTGCGCAATCCGAAATCTCGCGAGAGGAGAAAAGTCACTAACAGGTGCATTCCACAGGTTGGAAGTTAGCGGCTTTTTTTTTTGAATAAGCTTTATTGACAAAGCACAAAATATAGATACAAATTACAAAAACACAGTGTCAGGGGGTTTGGTAAAAAACAAAATAGAACAGTCTAGTAAAGAATCACATAACATTGAACAGGGAACATAAGTTTATGGTTTTGACAGCGTTTACATTTTGGGAATGTTGTATGGTTTTAACATATTGTTTGGTTTCATTTAAAAAGCACTGAAAGGATGGTTTTGCGTTAGAAAATTTCAATTTATGTATATGAAATTTAGCCAGTAATATCAGTAAATTAATAAATTAAAATTCGTTTGCCCTGTCCGTGGGGTACTTAAAGAAACCAAACAGTATTTTCTCATAACAAAGAGAGAACTCAGAAAAGATAAAAGAAACAACAAAAACACAAGCCGACGAGCTAATCCCTCCACTTTCGTGAGTAAAACTCTCCCTTTACTGGATAAATCCCGCTGCAGCTAAGCATTATGTTTTATCCAAAATAGGAGTTAAATTATGGGAGAACCTGGTGGATTGATTTTTATTAATGATGATACCAAGGTAAGTGACAGACTCTTTCACTGGGATGCCAGCAATAGATAGACTAAAGTAAAGGCATTAATTGTGTTAATAGCTATCTGCACCTGTGAAGCATGTTTTAAAAAGAGAGGTTTTTTGCTGCAGATGAGCCATACTCTCTTAAATATTAGGTGGCTTTAAATTCGAAGAGTTCCAAATTTTGACAGTAGAGATGACTGGTTAGGGCTTTATCCCAGAAACAAAATATCTTCAATCCCTTTTTCATGTTTTAGAAGGGAATTATTACGTTTCTAGTAGCAGCTCCTACGAGTTTGGGCAGCATTAGGAGACTTGAAGTGATACTGCTTTGTGGTCCGTGAGTGGAGTTGGCATTATATTGACTATAACATTATTTCTATCTAAGTAATCAGAGACTAACCAGAAGTCAATACGGGATTTAGAAGAGTTGGATTTGTTACTCTATGTAAATAGTCTGGCTTTAGGGTTTTTAAATTCTCCAAATGTCTATTAAATGATTTTTTTTGCATAAATGTATTTAAACAACAGGACAGAGTTATTTGAGCTAGGTGGCCATCTGTCTAGTGAAGGATCTGGTGCAATGTTAACATCGCCGAGTTAGATGTCGAGTACTTTTCTGGAGATGTCTTCTTGCTTTTGCTCAGGGACACCTGATGGAACCTCAGGCATCTCTGATGGTATCTTTCAACTTCCTTGACTTTCAGTTCTACTTGAGACAATCTGCTGCTGTTTTTCTTACAAGTAGCTTTAACTGTTTTGGTGACATTCTTCAAAGATTCTACTTCCAAGAACATGAAGCCAATAGACTTCTTCATGGCCTCGATGTTAACAGTATTCTTGCTGACCATAGCCTCCAGATTATCCAGAGCGCTCATTAATCAAAGTAGCAATGTTGTTTTGCACATCAGCAAGAGTTATATCACCTTTGTGTTTTTTACCATCGGGTCTGGCCGGAATATCAGGGTCCGAAACCGGCAGTGGCATCAGTTCAGGACTTTTGCTGCAGTTGTAGTCATGTTCGGCAGCCACGGCATTCTTGGGAGTGGTTTTTGAGCCAGCTACACATGTATTTGTCTCCATTTCCTTGGTTGCTCATTTCGTTAGACTTTTACATTTCATAGGTGTTTCTTTTTCCTTCCTTTTACTACCCTGAGTTGTTGGAAACATCTGAGCTATCGCTTTGCAAAGAAGCTAGGGTCACGAAATAGTTCTTTTAAGTATGGTTCAGGAAGCCGTTACTTAGAAGTACAGCATACATGTACTGAAGGAACAGTCAGTAGGATAACTCACTTGTAATTCAGAGAAAAAACGAAGGCTGAAAGGGAAGTAAAACTGCAAAATCCTGCCAAGGCGCGGAGAACGGCGTCTACCTCGGTCGCTATCTTGGCTCCGTTAGCGGTTCATAGTTTATCAACCGTTTCATCTTAAAGTAAAACACAAGAAAGCACAATAGAAAAAATCTTCAATTACCTTTTGAATCCTTCATAGTACCATCAACTTTATCACTTTATTTATCTCTCACTGCCATTTGTAAGCGAGGACATAGGTTGCTAGGAGATATATTGGAATTTTGTGAAATATATTGTAGTTTGACTCATGGGGGGGGGGGCTTACTGGCTTAAGCCCGGTGTCGAAGGGGAATTTGTTTCATAGTTAGATGCCTGACTGACAACTGTGTAAAACAAAAATTACACACATTATTCGAAGCACATAGCGCACAGTCGTAAATTCCCCCTAATTTTGGTATGATCCGAGCTCAGACACTAGCCGACTGAGCACAGCATTTATGCACGTGAGCGAGGGGAAGAAGCTGCTGCGTGCGAATTTGCTGTAGGAGAAATGCAGATAGGCAGACAGAGGAGAGCTTAAGTTTGACCAGGTACCAAAGCAAATCATTCGAACTGTACAAATAATGTAAATATGACGGTGTATCACAAAAGATTGATATCAAACTGATCACTTGACCCATATTACGTTACTTGCTCTTCAAGTGAATCAACAAATGGCTAAATGAACAACAATTTTTTAGAGTCTTAGTTTACGTGTGTTTATTTCATATTTTCAGTTGTTACCCTCCACGGCTAAATAAAGCACTCTAAATCGGTTTCAGTAAATGTACTGATTTACACAACAATGGACATAGGGGCTAAGTAAAATCTCAGTTAATTGTTATTTTATATATTATGCTTTGTATGTTGTTCAATATATTTCTTTGCAAGCAAGAGGAATTTCAATAGACTTCAGTATATTTACAGTTGAAACCAGACATTTACATACACCTTAGGGGAAATAAACATAAAACATTGAACATCAAGTAAACGTTTTTGTTTTAGATAAATAAATATTAAAATATCTTTTAAATTAGTTAAATGTCAGAATAAAGAGAGAGAGAGCTGTCTATTTTTTTTTACCACTTTCATCAAATTTAGGAGTATATATACACTAAGTTTATTGTGTCTTTAAATAATAAGAAAACTCCAGACGATTCCATTCTGAGCTTAAGAAGCTTCTGATAGGTTAGTAGAGTCCATGAAAAATAAACATTTAGTCTGATTTGATGTTTTACAATTTAAAAAGTGATTGTGTTTATATCTGAGTTTGTAAATATCTGGTTTCAACTGTATATTTGATGATGGTGGTGTTTGGCTTGATTGTCAGCACAAAGAGGGAGCGAGAGGAACAGAGAGAGAGATGGAGAGGAGAATGAGGACAGAAGAGAAATGGAACAAGAGCCAGGTGAGACAGACATGTTAGTCAAATGGTTGTTTGCCAAAACTCATTAGAACATGTATCTAGTACCTAGTGTATCTTTTTGGAATACTTGAATAATATTGACCCTGAAAATGTCATTGATAGGTTCGTAAAACTCAAGCCTCGAAGATACAGTCTCATGTTACCACAATAAAGAGGTGTTGTCAGTGTAGTGCAGGTCTATGATGATTTTCAGTGCTACTATCATCTAGTTTTGATTCTGGTTCTGTCTTGGTTAAGTCCTGAAGTAGTCCTGATTTTGAACTGTTGTAGTCCTGTTTTAATTCCGGGTCAGTTCTGGATCTGGTTGAATTGGGGTTTAGCAACTCCACAGCAACTCCACCCCCCAGCCTCCCGCCCCCTTCCAATCCCACGTGCATACCACCCTTTAGGGCTAAGCTCTGGGTGTATAAAATGTCTGGCTCCGCCTCTGGTTTGACTATGCTCAGTGTCAGCGTTGCTTCTTTCCGGTCCCTCCCTCACTCTTTGAGATGCCCATGGTCAAATATCGATGATTGACCCGCAGCTGGAAGACTGAATATCGTCTCACTGTCATAACAATGCTTTCTGAAAGAGAAAATGAAATTCAACAACACAGAGATAAGAGCACTACGGAAGAGGATTAGGGCCACTGGGGAAAAAAGCGGTAACATCTTTTTTTTTTTCCAGAATTCTGAGAAAAAAAGTCAGAATTCTTACTTTTCCCCCAGAATTCTGGAAAAGAAAAAAAAAAACATTACCGCTTTCTTCCCCAGTGGCCCTAATCCTCTTCCGTAGAGCACTGTTTCAATGTCTGAGGAAATAAATAAATAAACCTATTCACCTCTATAGTGCTGTGAAGAAGTATTATTCCCCTTCCTGATTTTCTGTCATCAAATAAAGATAGACAAAGGTAACCCGTGTAAATTTCAAAGAATGCAAATTTCAATTTTCATGATTTTATTTATTAAGAATAAACAGAATAAAACATTATCCAAAACTACTACATGGTGAAGTAGGCTAAAAGATTTCAAAAAGCAACACATCCACCACAATCTAAAGAAATTTAAGAACAACTGAGAAACCAAGTCACTGACATCTGTCAGTTTGGAAATGGTTAAAAAGCCACTCACAGTGAGAGCTATAATCCACCAATGGAGAAAAACTTGGTACACAGGGGATCCTTCCCAGGAGTGTCCATCCTACCAAAATTACTACAAGAGCGCATCAACGACTCCTCCAGGAGTTCACAAACAATCCCAACAGCATCTAAAGGACCTGCAGGCCTTGTTTGCCTCAGTTAAGGTCAGAGTTCAGCAATAAGAAAGAGACTGGTCAAAAATGGCAGCCGTGGGAGAGTTCCAAGGAAAAAACGCTGCTGAGTAAAAAGGAACATAAACACTCGTCTCACATTTGCCAAAAAACATCTTCATGATCCCCAAAATTTGTCTGTGGACCGATGATACACAAGTTGAACTTCTGGAAGGTTTGATTATATCTGGTGTAAAACTAACACAGCATTTCATAAAAAGAACATCATAACAACAGTCCAAATGATGGTGGTAGTGTGATGGTCTTGGGCTGCCTTGCTTCCCCAGGACTTGGACGAATTGATGAATTCTGCTCTCTACCAGAAAATCCAGAAAGAGAATGTCCGACCATCAGTTTATGCCCT